GACCATTTGTGAGGTCAGGTACTGATGTTGGAGGAGAAGGCCGGACTTGCCGTCTCCGCTCTAATTCATCCCAAAGGTGTTCTATGGGGTTGAGGTCAGGACTCTGTGCGGCCAGTCAAGTTCCTCCACCCCAAACTCCCCCATCCATGTCTTTATGGACCTTGCTTTGTGCACTGGTCCAAAATGTCTTGGTATGCTGATGCCTTAAGAGTTCCCTTCACTGGGACTAAGGGGCCAAGGCCCACCCCTGAAACCCACACCCACACCCACACTCCACCAAACTTTGCACTTGGCACAATGCAGTCAGGCAAGTACCGTTCTCCTGGCAACCATCAAACCCAGACACGCCCATCGGATTGCCAGACAGAGAAGCGTGATTGGTCACTCCAGAGAACACGTCTCCACTTCTCTAGAGTCCAGTGGCGGCGCGCTTTACACCACGGCATCCCACGCTTTGCGTTACACTTGGTGATGTAAGGCTTGGAACCAGCTGCTCGGCCATGGAAACCCATTCCATGAAGCTCTCTACGCACTGTTGTTGTGCCAATCTGAAGGCCGCACCAAGTTTGGAGGTCTGTAGCTATTGGCTCTGCAGACAGTTGGCGACTTCTGCGCACTGTGCGCTTCAGCATGCGCTGACATCGCTCTGTCATTTTATGTGGCCTACCACTTTGTGGCTGAGTTGCTGTTGTTCCCAGTTGCTTCCACTTTCTTATAATCCCAGTAACAGGTGACTGCGGAATATTTAGTAGCCAGGAAATGTCACAGAACACCTGAATCCAATGATTTGGTGGGCCGTCCCCATACGTTTGGCAATATAGTGTATCTGAACCAATGACTGGGTGTCATTCCCTTGAAGGTGGTCTGGGCCTTGCTTTCTACTTTCTCCTTGTACAGGTTCTCCACAATAGGTGACAGCGAGGATCCCATGGCACATTGTGCACACAGTTCAGTGCAGTGAGGAGCGCTCAGAATTGTATGTCGGTGAAACAAAACAGCAGCTACACCAGCGTACGGCACATCATAGAAGAGCCGAACCCTCTGGTCAGGATTCAGCAGTATACCTACATCTAAAGGAAAGAGGTCACTCCCCTGAAGATAGTCAAGTACGCATCCTAGACAGGGAGGAGGATTGGTTCTAAAGAGGTGTGAAAGAGGCCATATATGTAAAGATGGAGAAGCCAAGATTGAATAAAGGTGGGGGGGGGGGGGGGAGACATTTATTGTCTGCCACATACAATGCTCTCTCTGGGCAGGTAAATAACACCTCCTAGTTCCAATTATGCAATGCAATCAACATCTTGTTGTGACTAACAGATTATGTGGATTGGAGCAACATTCACCATATTTATTCCCAGAGAATGTTTGTACAAGTCATTCTGAATTGAGAAAGCCGGTTGGATGGCCAATGAAATATCTTCAAGAAAAATACAGCAAGTCCAGTTGCATTGACTTATTTTTTTACAGATATACTACCGCAGCACCACCAACACAGATTGCCATGGCCAGTGCCAGAGAGAGTTCCCTGATTGGATGAGAGTAGGGTTGCCACCTTTTCTTCAAGCAAAACCCGAACACATTTAAGCGACGCGCAGACTTTTTTTTGGGGAGAATGAGTTGTGGCTTATTCATATGTAAATATCACTGTTGAGACTATTTTCAGTGGGGGGCTCAGTAGCCCCTATCTTAATTTTGGTTGCCCCTGTGTGTCTGACATCTTGTGTCCGGGTTTCAGCTGCCATAAAACCCGAACACAGCATTCAAAACCCGAACTGTCCGGGTGAATCCTGGACAGGTGGCAACCCTAGATGAGAGGCGGTCACATGACTTTGACAGACTCCTCTTTGTTGTCTTCATACATTGTAATTAAACACAGCTTGCTATAGAGCACATTTGATAGCTTTTATTTGTTAATCAGCCTCTATGTCCGAGTTAAGGTCGTCCCACTGCTTCATTTGGTGCCCTGTGTGTAGTCTGTGATGATTGAAATCATGTTATTGTAAGACACAGGCTTCCGTGTGGAAGGCTGTATAATTTGATTAGCCACAGAGCTGCCAGACGCATGCGCAGTAGAGAGCTAGCCGGATCGCCGCACAGGCGCAGTGTGGAGACGAAGTGAGGGTTCTTTGCGCAGCCGCAGTACGTTACCTCTCTGTCCCGTCTTGCGCGGTGGGCGGTGGCCAAGGACCGGAAGTGGCGGCGGGGCTGAGGAGCGGACAGGACACCGGGGGAGACATGGAGGAGATCCGGGACCCGGTAATTGCATTGACCCCCTACGCATTCAATGACACAAGCAGGGAGCTCGGGAGTCCCAGTCCTCCTGGTTTGTGGCACCACAAGGCTCAGCACAGCGGGGACCTGTGGACTCCCTTCCACCTTCTATATACCCGAGGGGGGGCCCTGCTTGCCTCCATGACTGGCACCTGCAGGTGGATAAAAGCTGGGTGGGAGGTGCCGGCAATGTCACATGAGCGAACCTTGGGGAACTACAAGTTCCAACATGTCTGCTATCTCTCGCTATAGTGGCATGCTGGGATTTGTAGTCGGCTGCAGGTGGTGCCATTGATTCTGAAACTGAGAGGTCACACATCATACAACCTGATTGTATAAGGTCCACTAAAGCCCCGGCCTGAGGGTCGTCGGCCCCGCAAAGCCCCGGCCCGAGGGTCGTCAGCCCCGGCCCGAGGGTCGTCGGCCCCGCAAAGCCCCGGCCCGAGGGTCGTCGGCTCCCCAAAGCCCCGGCCCGAGGGTCGTCGGCCCCGCAAAGCCCCGGCCCGAGGGTCGTCGGCCCCGCAAAGCCTCAGCCCGAGGGCCGGAGGTCCTAAGCTCAAGGGTCAGAGGCCTCATAAAGTCTCGGGTTGAAGGTCCCCTAGTGTACCAGCTTGAGGGACAGAGGCCCCTTTAAGGCTCGGCTTGAGGGTCAGAGGTCTCTGTCAAAATGACCGCCATGCCATGACTGCAAAGATTGCGGCCCCAGCTTCTAGATTGTCAGTTTACCTTCTGCATCACTTTCTGTTTTTGGCCAGCCTGTGACGGGAAGGGGGCTCCTGTCCAGGGTTGGAATGCATCGATTGCCCCCCCCCAGTAAGCACTCAAGGTCCCTTGACCCGGGCAGCAAGCAACAATGCACATTGAGGTGGACTTGGGCTAGAAATGAAAGAGAACCAGTCACACCTGGGCTTATACAAGGAGGACACTGCTACATGTTAAATCATTGTAAGTGCCGTCGTATGGTGGTTCTTCTCATTTGTTTGAGTCTGAATTCTCGGCATGAGTATCAGAGGTCAGTGTAAGTGTCTGCTTGAAGGTCAGAGGTCCCCTAGAGTCTCAGCCTAAATATCGAGAGTCAAAAGCCTCTTAACATCTCAGCTTGAGGCTTAGACTCCCCTGAAGTCTCAGGTTGAGCATCAGGGGTCAGAGGTTTTAGCGGAAGGGTCAAAGGTCCTCTAAAGTCTCAACTTGAGTGTCAGTGGTCAGAGGCCTCCTCAAGTCTCAGCTTTGTGGTCAGAGGCCTCCTAAAGTCTCAGCTTTGTGGTCAGAGGCCTCCTAAAGTCTCAGCTTTGTGGTCAGAGGCCTCATAAAGTCTCAGCTTTGTGGTCAGAGGCCTCATAAAGTCTCAGCTTTGTGGTCAGAGGCCTCCTAAAGTCTCAGCTTTGTGGTCAGAGGCCTCCTAAAGTCTCAGCTTTGTGGTCAGAGGCCTCATAAAGTCTCAGCTTTGTGGTCAGAGGCCTCCCTAAGTCTCAGCTTTGTGGTCAGAGGCCTCCCAAAGTCTCAGCTTTGTGGTCAGAGGCCTCCCAAAGTCTCAGCTTTATTGTCAGTGGTGAGAGGCCTCCCTAAAGTCTCAGTTTGAGTGTCAGTGGTGAGAGGAATAAGCTGAAATCCTATCAATGTATGACCAGCTTAGTCTCTATGTGATTGTAAGGAAAATAGAAAAATAGAGGCCGGTGGAAAAAACATAATTACCAGAGTGCGATTAGTGTGGCTCTCAGACATCATGTGGATGAAGACACTGTTGTTTTGCTAAAGTGAGCTGAAACTCATTGACCCAGGCCCTAAGCGAATACAAAGCATGCATCTAGAACATCCATTCTCCACCACGGTTCCATATTGTTCGAGGTTCCTTGAGCTGAGGTAGACTGACCTCCCATTTGGTAGTGCCTGCATAGCTCCCATGTCAACACCACTTGGCAGCAATGGTCATGGTCGTCTTTATCTGTCCGTAAGGGTGGCATTTGACCACCACTGTATTGGGGGTTCCCTAAGACCTGCACATTATTTCAAGGGTGGGATGAAAAGTTTGGGGAAGGCTGAACTAGAGACCTGTTGAGGGTGCTTATTCCATCACCAGGACTGATCTTGTGATTATTATAGACAGACCATCCCACTCAGCAAGTGATGTCTATAGTTCCACTATAAATCAGAGGGTTTTTTTGTGGTTGTGGTGCGTTCTCCTCATCTTCTCATGTCATCACTGCTTTCTTGCGGATTGTCTTCCTCCTCAAGAAGAAGGGACCCTGTGTGGCCCCGAAACGTCGGCTCATGTTGGATTTCTGTGACATCATTGTCCATTAAAAGGACTCATTCATTTTAACTTATGGAGTGCTGGTGACCTATTTTCTTCATTCCTCCTCATCTTCTCGTGTCCTCAGTGCCCTCCTGTGGGTTGTCTTCCTCCTCATCTTGTGTCCTCAGTGCCCTCCTGTGAGTTGTCTACCTCCTCATCTTGCGTCCTCAGTGCTCTCCTGTGGGTTGTCTACCTCTTCTTCTCATGTCCTCAGTGCTGTCCTGTGGGTTGTCTTCCTCCTCATCTTCTCGTGTCCTCAGTGCTCTCCCATGGGTTGTCTACCTTCTCATCTTCTCGTATCCTCAGTGCTGTCCTGTGGGTTGTCTTCCTCCTCATCTTGTGTCCTCAGTGCTCTCCTGTGGTTGTCTACCTCCTCATCTTCTTGTGTCCTCAGTGCTCTCCCATGGGTTGTCTACCTTCTCATCTTCTCGTATCCTCAGTGCTCTCCTGTGGGTTGTCTACCTCCTCGTCTTCTTGTGTCCTCAGTGCTCTCCTGTGGGTTGTCTACCTCCTCGTCTTCTCGTGTCCTCAGTGCTCTCCTGTGGGTTGTCTTCCTCCTCGTCTTCTCGTGTCCTCAGTGCTGTCCTGTGGGTTGTCTTCCTCCTTATCTTCTCGTGTCCTCAGTGCTGTCCTGTGGGTTGTCTTCCTCCTTATCTTCTCGTGTCCTCAGTGCTGTCCTGTGGGTTGTCTTCCTCCTCATCTTCTTGTGTCCTCAGTGCTCTCCTCTGGGTTGTCTACCTCCTTATCTTCTCTGTGCTCTCCTGTGGGTTGTCTACCTCCTCATATTCATTTGTCCTCTATGCTCTCCTGCGGTGTAGATCTGACACTGATGGGGTTTTCCCCCTTATCCCTCTCTCATCTCAGGGCAACGTGACATTTAACGATGTGGCCATCTACTTCACTCAGCGGGACTGGCAGCTGCTGGCAGACTGGCAGAAGAAGCTGTACCAAAATATCATGAAGGAGATCCACGGGGCTCTGACTGCACTTGGTAAGTTGTATGTCTGTACTGTCGGTAGTGCCACAGTATATGTGGGTGCTATATGCAAAAGATAAAAATGATACCATGGTGGAAGGGGCAGGCTACCTTATGGGTGGGGGCACAGCGCACCAATATTAATACCACAATGGAGAGCAGGGGGAGGGGAGCAGGCTACCTTACCGGTGGGGGCAGAATGCACCGATATTGAAAACACAGTGGTGGTTGGTTGGGGGCAGATTGCCTTACCAGTGGGGGCAGAATGTTTTTGGATTTTTTTTAATGACTATATAGAGTTGTACTAAATAAAGGACAGAAAAACATGGCTAAAATGGCCCAGCAGTACGAACTCAAACTCCGCTGCTCCATTCAGCTCCCGAGGTAAGGAGAAGTAAAGTCACTCTAGTTGGGAGCTCACACAGGACTGAAGACTGTCCTACCGCCCCCAGGTGACCACGCTGGGCCAATTACCAAGCTCCAGTGCTGTCACATGCTCCTCCATACCTGGAAATACCAGGCATTTCACTTTGCTCCCAATGGCTGAGCGAAAGGAGCAAAGGAAAGGGGCATGTAGGTTGCTAAGGGCCCAGTCAGTAAAGAGGACCTGTTGCTTTGCCCTAAGTATCTGACTTCAGAATTAACGGTGGTTGTTAGGAAACCGGTAGTGGGGATATTCTGACATTTGTATAGAGAAGATTGAACACCAGCCGCTCTTCTAAATGAAAAATAAAAGAATGTCTGTTTTTGGTAACCTCAGGCTGTCTTTACCTTCCCCCCTGCAGGGTACGAGATTGCCAACCCGGGGATCCTAGTGAGGATTCAGCAGCAGGATGAGTCGTATTTCCATGAGGAAGCGGCAGCGAATGGTGAGGATCTGTATCACCATTTGTGGTCTCATTGTTCTTGCCCACTGTCCTCATCTGAATTTGCAATCACTGTTCCACTTACTGCCTGCACCCAATCCCCTCTGCCTCCAGAACATGGCGTCCCCCCCATTCCTCCAGCATCTACCACTTACCTTTTAATATATTCTTCCAGTGTCCTTTTCCCTGATCTAGCCCCGTACATGTCTCCAATTCCAATTATTCACTAGTGTCTCCAATTCTCCTCGCCTCCATTTCCAACATCCACTCTACATCTGATAAATGACCAACGTCTTTAGAATTTTGCAGGCAATTCCATTTGTAGACGTGAAACAGCAGGCCGCAGGCAAAAATGTGATGCATCTCAGAAAACCTCTTCCTTAAGTTACTTACCTAAAAAATTGTTTCCTACAGTATATTAGGTTCCCTGTTTTCCCCTATCTGTTGGGGTCCCCCAAGGCTCTGTCCTTGGTCCCCTTCTCTTCTCTATCTACACCTCCTCTCTTGGTCAGCTGATCACCTCACACTGCTTCCAATACCATCTCTATGCCGATGACACTCAAATCTATCTCTCTACTCCACAACTCTCCCCCTCCGTGTCCTCTCGTGTCACTAATCTACTAACTGACATATCAGTCTGGATGTTGCAACACTTCTTAAAACTCAACCATTAAAAAACACCCTCCACTGGCTTCCATCCCCGCCTCCCTCTGCCAATCCCTGCACTGGCTTCCATCCCCCCGCCCCCCTCTGCCAATCCCTGCACTGGCTTCCAATAGCCCAAAGGATAACATTCTAAATATTAACAACCACTTACAAAGCCATCCATAACTCTGCCCCTGGCTATATCTCAAACCTTGTCTCTAAGTATCACTCTAACCGTCCCCTCCGCTCCTCCCAACACCTCCTGCTTTCCAGCTCCCTTGTCAACTCCTCCCATGCTCGCTTCCAGGACTTCTCTAGAGTCTCCCCCATTCTGTGGAACTCTCTACCCCAACCTGTCCGTCTGTCTCCCACCTTGACTGCCTTTAGGCGTACCATGAAAACTCATCTCTTCAGGGAAGCCTATGTCACCTCAACCATCACTTTCTCAAACAATTCATCCACACAGCTACCTCCTCATGTATCACTTCTCCCTCCCTTTTAGATTGTAGGCCCCAGGGGCAGAGCCCTCCTTCCCATCTTATCTTGTCTTGTCTTGTATTGTGATTGTAATGTCTTCCTCATATTGTAAAGTGCTGCACAAACTGTTGGCGCTCTTTAAATCCTGTATAATAATAGCACCAAGCTCTCTGCGTCCCATCTGGAGATGAGGACAGTACTGGCTCTTTGACATGATCAATACAGCAAAAGTGTTTTTGAGTGCCACTAATTTATCACCAGGGAATGAATAACTCCCCAAAGCTTCAGCCGAACCCCTTAATGGTCACGAGAGAATAATAGTGGCTGCCATTGCTAGAGACACTTGGAGGCAAGCCATGATTTGTCATCACTTGTTTGTTGTAGGAAACTCCACAATAAGATTTTTTTTCTCATCTGTTGAGGGATATAATCCTTAACTTATGTCTATTGGACACTGGCAAACCAAAATCTGGAGGTCAGTCCAAGACGAACCCTTCTACTACCAGCATGCCTCAGTTTTTTGCTAGTGTCATAGGAGGATGGACCCCATTGGATGTTGCAGAAATGGCTTGAACGTTACCTTCGGGCCCTGGGTTCCATGTGTGGCACTTTCCACACTTGCTGTCCAAAGACATAATACTGTAGGACTGGGTGATGACATCACCTGATGGGTGGAGTGTCGTGTGCCCTGTGCTCTCTTCTCCGCCATACAGCATTGAGGAAGCATCTCCCTGCTGCAGCATCATATACTCCATATTGGATCCCAAGGATATGAATATCTTCATTCAGTTTCAGAAATTTCAGATGGAATGCACCAAATGTGTCATCTCCCTTCACCATGGGGCTTTCTGGCTTCTGTGTCTATCAACGATGCATTCCATCATGTCCTCATCTTTCCTGTGCATCAGCAATTCTTTCAGTTTGCTGTGGGGCCGTGCAGGGGACCCGGTTTTTGGCCTTGTCCTTTCGGCCTCTCATATGCACCTTGAGTATACTCTTCACCAAGGTTCTGGCTTCAGTATTGGCCCTACAGTACTCTTGTGGCATCCCCATTGTGGTATACTTAGACAACCTTCCCTTGAGGGAATGGTTGGGGCAGGCTTGGTTGGACAATGTGTCTTTAACTCTAAACATTACGTTGGTTCGCGTGGATCCTGAACCTTCAGAAATAATCATCTTTTGGAGTATCTGGGTCTAGGTTTGGATACAGCTTAGGCAAGATTGTTCCTTCCTTAGGGAAAATGCAGACTCCGATTTGAATTCTCTAGTCCAGGAGTCCTCCAACTTTTGCATCAGTCATAGGCCTGAAAGACTGAGGACTGGTGGACTGAGGACTGGTGCATTCCATGTGAAATTTCTGGATCTGAATGAAAATATACAGAACCTTGGGATCCAATATGGAGTGTATGCCGCAGCAGCAGGGAGATGCTTCCTCAAGGCTGTTTTTTTTAAGAAGGTTCTATTTGCCCAGTTACACTCCAGATATCTGCACCCTGGACGAGGTTGACCCTGGCTTGGTGGCTCGGGATATTGCTCTGGAGTTGGCAGGCAGGCTTTCTTTTCCTATCTTTTGGAGGATTTACACCACAGATGCCAGCCTGTCAGGCTGGGGAAACATCCTGGGCTCCCTGTCTGTGCAGAGGTCTTGGTTGTTTGCTGATCCAGATCCTGTATCTTTGGGCAATTTTGCACTCTCAGGAACATTGGTCTATGCTACTGGAGGGTCATCTGATCTGTATGCAGTTGGACAACATCAGTGGCTTCCTCGAGGGAAACTAGATAGGTTTGTCTCCAGATACAGGAATCCTCCAGTGAAAGCAGTGGCTGCTCTGGGGGATCAGTACACCCTGATCCATTCCTTTCCTCCCCTGAAACTCTTTGAGACCTTTGTACAGAGATCTTCCATGTAGCTTCTCTAGTCTATTCCAGTGTGACTCCTTGGCATCCAGTGTGACTCCTTGGCATCTGAACCTGGTTCTCTCTGTTCCTCTTTCTACTCTCTTTCATGTTGCCATCTCCTCTGCGAGGTAACAGCCGTATCCTGCCCGGAACCCTTTCTGGTTTTGCATAGTGACGAGGTGGTGGTGAGGCCTAGGACTTCTTTCTTGCCTTTCACTTAAACCAGAACATTGTTCTGTCCAGCTCCAGTTCACCCATACAAAATTTCCCTCCATTGACTGGATGTGGTTCAGGTTGTGCACGCCCTGCCTTTCAGCCGCTGGTTCTTTCAGGAAGGCTGATTTCATTTTTGTCATCCCAGATGATGGACAGGGAAAGGCTGCACTGGCTTTTCGTTTCGCCATCTCTAGGTGACTTGGGCAGGACATCATCCAAGCCTGTGGCCTCAAGGATCGGATTCCACCCTTTCCTTTATACACTTGCCCTACTATATCTGTGAATGGTTCTTGGACTTTTCAGTATCAAGCAATTGATACCCAGATTGGCAAGGCTGCCACTTGGTCTTCTGTCCACATATTCTTAAAGGAGACCTATGAGATGAGTGATTCTGACCCCATAGTTCTCCTTTAAGTTCTACCAGGTGGATGTTTCTGCCTCATTTGATCAATATCGCACATAAGGTCCTCCAGACAGCTCTTTGAGATGCAGGCAGTCCCCCAGTTCTGTTATTTTTTTTCTGGGCCAGTTAGAGATTGTTTGCTGTAGGGATGCGCCCATACCGAGTATCTCGCCCCAAATGCTCCGATACCGGAACTTCCGGTTAGCCGGAGATCTCCCTCTGACTGGCAGTGCCAAGGGAGCATGGAGCCACCTGTCTTTCCAATCGGAGAGGCGGGTGGTGGGTTATGACCCGCCTCCCAGCTACCTGATTGGTTAGGAAGCCAGCTTCACTTGTTGCTAGGCAGCCTGGCTTCCTAACCAATCAGAAAGCCGGGCGGCACGTAATGACCCACCTCCCGGCTTCCTGATTGGTCAGGAAGCCAGGCGGCCTCAGGAAGAAAAGCTGGTGTTCTTTCGATAGAAGACCGGCTTCCCAGGCAGCCGGGTGGTGGTGGGCCATGATCTGCCACCCGACTTCCTGATAATCAGGGCACACGGCACCGGTATCGGCGAGTACCGAAAAAAAATATCTCAGTAACGAATAAAACGGTATCGGTGCATCCTTAGTTTGCTGTGTTGCCAACCCCTCAGAGTTCAACTGCTTTTGGACATCACAAAGTTCAATGACTCGCCGTGAACTCTCCATAAAATTATTTTCTTGGAGTCCTTTGAGGGACACGGGGCCCAGTCCCTCTGTTTTTATGATCATTCTCTCGGCACTGCTTTGCTATACAATGGCTTGCTGGTTGTAGGTGGGGTTGTCCTGGGGTGACCTATGATTTGACATAGACCTACATCTTCTAGTTGGCACTATAACACGAAGGTTAAAAACGTCCTATGTCCCTCAGTGGACTCCAAGAAAAGGATTTTATGGTAAGTACAGAAAATCACAATGCATTTTCACACCTTACACTGATCATCTGGTTACGGGGGGGTGCATATTCAGTAAAAAAAAAGATAAAGTTTTTATATATTGGTCAAATCCCCAACAAAAAAATGTCTCTAGATTACTTTACCTTGGTGAAAAATATAATACACTATGGAGGGAATTTATCAAAACTGGGGAAGACAAAATTTGGAGCAGCTGTCCATAACAACCGATCAGCTTCACTCTTATTTCAAATTGTAGAGAAGCTGATTGGTTGCCATGCACATCTGCTCCAGTTTTGATAAATTCCCCCCCAATATGTATGTGTATATGTCGGTGAAATTGACATTCCATATGAAACAACCAGCTTGTGGCAAATTGCTTTCCTCCATTTTATAAAGCGGCCCGGTGGTCTGAATTTTCCTGACGCTCCCCTGTTGTTCCCTTCAGCCTGGTCCTCGCACAAGCTCGAAGAACACGTGGCTGGCGCCTCGGACGGTGTGCCGGAACTGCCACCCGTCAAACCCGACATCTTACTGCGGTTGAAAATGGAGGACACGACCAGCGAGCAGAGCAGCCAGACCTCCATGCTGAAAATTGTGGAGGAGGAAAGCAAAGACAGTACGTATGTGACTATCAGGCCACACAAAGTACGGCCATGGAAACCCATTCCATGAAGCTCTCTACGCACTGTTGTTGTGCCAATCTGAAGGCCACACAACGTTTGGAGGTCTGTAGCTATTGACTCTGCAGACAGTTGGCGACTTCTGTGCGCTTCAGCATGCGCTGGCCCCGCTCTGTCATTTTACGTGGCCTACCACTTCGTGGCTGAGTTGCTGTTGTTCCCAGTTGCTTCCACTTTGTTATAATAATAAAAAGACACATGCAACCTATCTGGACTGCAGGTTGGGCACCTGGGTTGTAAAGTGTGTTCTACACTAGAGGTCACTTGCAAAGGTCCTATTAAATATTAGATCTCTTATCTGACAAAGCCAGTGATTGGGCTTATACTGTGTGTAAGGAAAGGGCTCTTGGGAGATGTAGTTTTGGGGTGGGAGTGGAAACTGAGCAACCATCAACTGCCTCTGCAAGAATTTTATAAGCCTGATGATGGTGTCATAGGAAATAAAGAAAGGGCGGGTCCTTAACCGAGCTGTACTACCGGACTGCAGTGGAGAAAAGAGAGGTCGCTGGCCTGGCTATGCTGCCTGGGTCACAGGACAGACTGAATATTATAGTTCTCACATGTGTGTTACATACATCCTTACATACATGTATTTAGGAGGTCTACTTTAATTCACAATTGCTGTTTTATGACTTATATTGCTGGGCTTTGTGTTTGGTGGAGCATATGAGGCCCTGGGTGGAGAAAAGTTTGAGAATTGTTGTTATAGACACCCGCTGGGTTCCATGATGCTATAACTCCTGGTTCTCTCCCCCCCCATGCAGGCAGCGCGGTGTTTAATCCAGAGTTGGCGTTGTGGATCAAGCAGGAAGAAGTACATTCCTTCCCGGAGAAACCGGACGGGCTGCTGCCTGCTGTGCAAGGTGAGCGGAGAGAACAAAGTACAATAAAGTAGACCTGTCTTGGGTCAAGGTGGGCGTCAAGAGCCCTCTGCTTGTAGCTTATTTTATTTAACTGAGTGTCTATGAGTCTGGGAGCTCCGCCTACAAACGTCAACCTCCAGCTCTGAAGGCGGAGCTCTTTTGTTTTTCCCCGCTGTGCAAGGTGAGCAGAGGTGAGCAGAGAGAACAAAGTACAATAAAGTAGACCTCTCCTTGGCCAAGGTGGACGCCAAGAGCTCTCTGCTGGTCCCTTGTTTAATCCTATTGTATGTCCAGTGCACCCATGAGTCTGGAAGCTCCACCTACAGAGGCCGGTCTCCAGCTCTACAGGCGGAGTTCTGTTACTTCCCCTGCAGAGCAAGGTGGATGGAAAGAACAAAATACAATAAAGTATACCTATCCTGGGCCCAGCTGGCCAAGGCGTGTTCGGAGAGCCCTCAGCCCGTCCCTTATGTTATCCTATTGAGTGTCTGGTGCGCCCATGAGTCTGGAAGCTCCTCCTACAAAGGCCAGCCTTTGCTGAGCTAAAGGGGGAGCTCTGTTACATCTCCTGTAGTACGCAGATTGTACGTAGATCTGTAGATTGCCTTGTTCTACATATCATATACATATATAAGTAGATCTGTAGCTTGCCTTGTTAGTGGCTTCCGTCATATCAGAGTACAGTCAGTCAGCATCCCTGCTAGAGAATATATAAGAAGATGATTGCAATCACATTGTAGGAAACACTTTCTAATACATGAGAGAAGCCATTGATGCCAAGCAGTGGAATATCTGACCACTTGCACAGTGTATATATATATATAGATACAAAGTAGCATTGTCACTATTGCATCTATTTTGTCTCTATTGTTCATCTGCATATGATGTCAGTTAAAGCTGAACTCCGGGAAAACAATTTCTGCACATTTCCTGTGTAAAAATAAATGACCCCCGATGATGCCTGTAGTATACACTGATACAGATTATTATGACCACCCCCATCAGTACTTCGTTGGGCCGCCCCGATGATGAAAGGCGATGCGAGGAATCTGACACGGCACTGTTGCCCTTCTGTTGTCTTGTACCAGTCTTGCCCCTCCCCCGTTCTGCCCTAACATTGACTAGTCGCTGACGGCCACAATTCGCACGTTCACACCCAGATTTTCGGATGACAGTCCGGTCTTTAAACACTTTAACAATGAGCCCCTCTTGAACATTTAACGAATTCCGCTGTTTTGCTGATACTCGCCCCATGGCTCAGAGCTCCAACAATCATCCCGCGTTCAAAGGCTGTTACATCGCGTTGTTTCCCCGTATCTTCAGAAACAAATCACTTCTACTGTCGTGGTAACCAACCCGCTCCCCTATTTATAATGGTCTGGCCATCTAGCAACTTCAGCGCCAAATTATAGCCAATTTGCCTACAAACTTCAGGTGGTCATAATAATCTGGCCACTCAGTGTATATAATAATCCGGCCACTCGGTGTATGTGTGTGCTGCTTCTTTAGCTCAAACCTCTGTTTCATTCACTCTGGTAGCGCTGAGCATTGTACTTCCGGCTCCCTAGTACACTCCTCTATACAGTGAAGGCTATATGGGTTGCTCACACTTCACCTTTCAGAAAATGTTTTGTATTAGTTTCATAGGATACAAGGCGATCTGTAATGGGAGGAGGGGAGATCATGACACTCCTCCCCCCCTTCTCCAGTCAGCCGTGCTCACCTTTAGTCCAGTCAACGCCATTGAACTCTTTAATATATATATTATTTTGTCTTCTAAGAAGGGTTGTATTTCTTCTAGTGTCTTTTTTTTTCTAGTGTTTGATTTTTTCAACCTCCGAGATCAGCCTTTCTCAACCAGGGTTCCTTCAGAGGTTGCTAAGAGTTCCCTCAGCACTAATCAATGCTTTTTTAAGCTCTCTGCACGGGATCCATTCTTGACTACCAATGTAAGGAGCATTCTTCCCACTGATCACCAATGTAAGGGACATTCTTACCTCTGACCACCAATGTAAGGGACATTCTTACCTCTGACCACCAATGTAAGGAGCATTCTTCCCACTGACCATCAATGTAAGGAGCATTCTTCTCACTGATCACCAATGTAAGGAGCATTCTTCCCACTGACCACCAATGTAAGGGGCATTCTTCCCACTGACCCCCAATGTAAGGGACATTCTTCTCACTGACCCCCAATGTAAGGGACATTCTTCCCACTGACCACCAATGTAAGGGACATTCTTCCCACTGACCATCAATTTAAGGGACATTCTTACCTCTGATCACCAATGTAAGGAGCATTCTTCTCACTGACCACCAATGTAAGGGACATCCTTCTCACTGACCACCAATGTAAGGGACATTCTTACCTCTGATCACCAATGTAAGGAGCATTCTTCTCACTGACCACCAATGTAAGGGACATTCTTACCTCTGATCACCAATGTAAGGAGCATTCTTCTCACTGACCACCAATGTAAGGGACATTCTTCTCACTGACCACCAATGTAAGGAGAATTCTTCCCATTGGGACTTGGCAACATTAGAAGCATTCTTCCCACTGACCACCACCTTAATTGTACTGTGAGCTGTAGATATAGTAATTACCGGTAGGGGTTCCCTGAGACCTAAATGTTATTTTACAGTTTCTCCATAGTAGTGTGCTTGAGCAAGGCTGTCCTAGATACGTAGGCCAGTAGTTTGCTTCCAGGTCCTTGTGATTGGCTATTTTGTAGTGATGGATTTTGAATAAGGTGTTGATTAGGAATGAACTTTGGCTGGAAAGTCTTTCCTTGTTGTTAAAATGTGTCATACTGACCGTGTCTTCTTCCAACGGTGCCGTCCTTTGATGTGTCATGTTGTATTTTGCCTAGAATACTGTGAGGTTTATTTATTAATGTCCCAAATATACTGTTCAGATTACACTTTTCTCAAGCCCTGATGAAGGTTGCCCTCCTGAAACCCCACAATAGAGTTGGCCTTTTATTTAAAAAAAATAATTCTGGACAAAACGCAACCAATCTGGTGCTTTCATCCATATTGCTCTGTCCACGTTGAGGTAAAAGCCGGCCCCATCCATATTGCTCTGTCCACGTTGAGGTAAGAGCCGACCCCCATCCATATTCCTCTGTCCACGTTGAGGTAAGAGCCGACCCCCATCCATATTCCTCTGTCCACGTTGAGGTAAGAGCCGACCCCCATTAATATTTCTCTGTCCATGTTGAGGTAAGAGCCGACCCCCATTAATATTCCTCTGTCCATGTTGAGGTAAAAGCCAACCCCCATACATATTCCTCTGTCCATGTTGAGGTAAAAGCCAACCCACATACATATTCCTCTGTCCATGTTGAGGTAAGAGCCGACCCCATCCATATTCCTCTGTCCATGTTGAGGTAAGAGCCGACCCCCATTAATATTTCTCTGTCCATGTTGAGGTAAGAGCCGACCCCCATTAATATTTCTCTGTCCATGTTGAGGTAAGAGCCGACCCCCATTAATATTTCTCTGTCCATGTTGAGGTAAGAGCCGACCCCCATTAATATTTCTCTGTCCATGTTGAGGTAAGAGCCGACCCCCATTAATATTTCTCTGTCCATGTTGAGGTAAGAGCCGACCCCCATTAATATTTCTCTGTCCATGTTGAGGTAAGAGCCGACCCCCATTAATATTTCTCTGTCCATGTTGAGGTAAGAGCCGACCCCCATTAATATTTCTCTGTCCATGTTGAGGTAAGAGCCGACCCCCATTAATATTTCTCTGTCCATGTTGAGGTAAGAGCCGACCCCCATTAATATTTCTCTGTCCATGTTGAGGTAAGAGCCGACCCCCATTAATATTTCTCTGTCCATGTTGAGGTAAGAGCCGACCCCCATTAATATTTCTCTGTCCATGTTGAGGTAAGAGCCGACCCCCATTAATATTTCTCTGTCCATGTTGAGGTAAGAGCCGACCCCCATTAATATTTCTCTGTCCATGTTGAGGTAAGAGCCGACCCCCATTAATATTTCTCTGTCCATGTTGAGGTAAGAGCCGACCCCCATTAATATTTCTCTGTCCATGTTGAGGTAAGAGCCGACCCCCATTAATATTTCTCTGTCCATGTTGAGGTAAGAGCCGACCCCCATTAATATTTCTCTGTCCATGTTGAGGTAAGAGCCGACCCCCATTAATATTTCTCTGTCCATGTTGAGGTAAGAGCCGACCCCCATTAATATTTCTCTGTCCATGTTGAGGTAAGAGCCGACCCCCATTAATATTTCTCTGTCCATGTTGAGGTAAGAGCCGACCCCCATTAATATTTCTCTGTCCATGTTGAGGTAAGAGCCGACCCCCATTAATATTTCTCTGTCCATGTTGAGGTAAGAGCCGACCCCCATTAATATTTCTCTGTCCATGTTGAGGTAAGAGCCGACCCCCATTAATATTTCTCTGTCCATGTTGAGGTAAGAGCCGACCCCCATTAATATTTCTCTGTCCATGTTGAGGTAAGAGCCGACCCCCATTAATATTTCTCTGTCCATGTTGAGGTAAGAGCCGACCCCCATTAATATTTCTCTGTCCATGTTGAGGTAAGAGCCGACCCCCATTAATATTTCTCTGTCCATGTTGAGGTAAGAGCCGACCCCCATTAATATTTCTCTGTCCATGTTGAGGTAAGAGCCGACCCCCATTAATATTTCTCTGTCCATGTTGAGGTAAGAGCCGACCCCATCCATATTCCTCTGTCCATGTTGAGGTAAGAGCCGACCCATGGCCTCTGTTTTCTGGAGAGCTTTACTCATCAGACAAGACACAGTTGGGATTTCTATGATAGCTTCCAAGGAACATTAATCTGTAGAATTGTCAGTTCTTCTGAGGTGTCGGGGTGCGAGTAGACCGCTATCCACCTATAATGAAAACACCTTTAGCTCCATTGAAGTGGAAGAAATGAGGAATCCCGTAACAGGAATTGATGGCCCTCAGTCGTGATGACATTTGCTGTTGTGTTCATGTAGAATTGT